GGGCAGAAGCAGAGGGCGGCGCGCGTCTCAGCAAGCTGCGCGAGATGTGGGCGAGCTGTGATGAAGAAGACGCAAGGAAGAGGGAGACCGGCCCAATGTTCCGCCGGTGCCTCGGCCCCAAACGTTTCCCTTTGCTTAATTAGGGATTTGTTCTAGCAAAGCAAGAATGAGCATATTCTGGCACCGTGGAAGGGTGTCACGCTACCAAGATAATCACACAAAAAAAAAAAGTCCTACACCTATGGTGAACCTATATAACTTTTCCAAATCCTTACAAATGAAAATCAAATCACTGTTGGAATCGTTGTCTACAGTGTAAGGTGTCTCCCGAGTTTCTAGGAAATCGAACAATGTAGTGCCATGAAATTCGGCAGATATCGTTGTGTGCCAAATGCCCGTAAAAGGGACTCGGCGACAAGGAGAAACTTGAAGATGTCGCACATTAGCCGTGTTCGCCCATCAGAAACTGGGTAGTGCCCTGACATATGGGCCCCACCAACAAATAGTGAATGGAGACGTGACGGCGGTCTATGTTTACTGAGTTTACACTAATAAAAAACGAAAATATTTTTCCTTTTCAATTTTGTACTACAGAATTTCACGGTCACGTCGATGCCGAGTTCCCATGAATAAAAACTCGGCAAACACCTGGCATGTGAGCCCACGAGAGGCGTAGCAACGATTATTGAGCTTCCTATGCCAACTTTCGAACTCGGCAAAGCAATGATCCTTCGTCTACCGCGCGCATATAAACACAGGCACGCATCTCCCTCCTCCGCCTCACGTCAAAGGAAAAAGTTATACCACAGAAATTTCTTTGCTTGCCAAGCTACATGTCTGAATTTGAATGCATTCCAACATTTGTCTGAATTTTTGTTCCTGCATTATAAGGTCTGTCTGAATTTGACAGAGTTATAAATGGTGTTGAGCAAATGTACATTTACATGTTCTGGCCTACTACAGAACACAACCGCACAAAGTGCTGATCATCCTCTATTCTGAATAAGCTATATCAGGAAGTACATTGGCATATAAAATTTTGGATAATCTATTGTAAATAATTGACAAGCATGTTATTTTATTTACATCTTCTGTTATTCTTCCGGGTGTTCAATGCATCTTTCTATCATGACGCTTCTGTAAATATTGCATGTTATTATCAGATGAGCTACCATGCTATTTTGATAGCCTTCTCCGCAACAAAGAATTGAAGGTTGGACCAGATCTGACCAGGGGCGAGGAAAAGTTCTTCATATATCGTTATATGTTCTGATATTGATATGTGCAGGAGAGGGGCTTTACTTGCACACGGTTTGTCATAAACATGTGTCAGCTCCATGAATGGCATGGTAGCTTATTCAGTGCTAGGAGGGCGTGTCCCAATGTACTCAAAACCGATGACGAGGAATGCTAGGCCTTGAATGAAGAGGTAGATGTAGTATCCTTTCTTTGCGTAAAGCACATCGTAGCATCCACATATAATTATGAAGGTTCCAACAAAAATCTCTGAGCAGTTGTACCTGATAAAAAGAACACACATATCAGGCATTATTTGACAAAACTAGAAAACGTTCAAATCGGTAGTCAACATACAGTAAACCAAAGTAGTATATATCATAATGTATTAGCTTCGAGACGACAGACTTTGCTTACTTGTCCCATAATCGTGTTCGCCTCTTCTCGAGCTTTGGTACTAGGGGCGTCGATAGCTCGACATCAATCACTTGCACATCATCTAATCCTTCCATGGCTGGCTCTGTCTTGTTGGCATCTCCCAATTTCTCAGTGACAACCCACTCATTGACTCGTCTAGTGTCGAGAAGACCAGTTATTGTGGCCTTTATCCGGTGCAATGACATCACATTATCAAAGAGGACCCAAAGGATCACCAGATGAAATGAACTGAAAGATTGGTTTTCTGTTGTTAACTGAATGTAATAAACAGTACAACTCTTATTTGATCTTGGGGTGCGTGTTACCTTGGTGATCCAAGAGCCTTGCAGAGGGTGATAATAGTTGGAACGTAGACCACACCCCAGAGAGGTATCTGAATCTCAGGGAAGAAAACGGACACCGGGATCGCAAAGCAATAGTAGATGAATGTCACCGTATGAGCAGCGATCTTCCCAACGAAAAAAAAGTCATACAACAGGTGGAGTTTGCTCCAAAATGACACTTTCTGCAAAGAGGAAATTAAATTTCAGGCAACAAGCAGATGGTGTGTGTGATGATGCATCCTCCCATATATCAAATAAATATTGACCTTGTTCTTTAGAATATCTAACAACATTTTCTTGAACAGGTTTGCTGGTCCACATGACCACCTGTGTTGCTGAAATCGGTATGCCTTGAATGTGCTTGGCAGCTCACTCTTGACCTAAGCACGCACCAGTCCGAGCATCGTTAGGTTTGTTTCTCGATGGTTTTGGTTATTTTTGACAGAGAAACAACTAAATAAAAGAGCATTATTTTTGGCTTACTTTGACGGCGCCTACATACACGAACTTCCAGCCCAGCAGCGATGTACGAACAGCCAGGTCCATGTCCTCCACCGTCGTCCGGTCCTCCCACCCCCCGGCATCATTGATTGCCGAGATCCTCCAAACACCAGCTGTTCCTGGAAGATGCAAAAATCCCCAACAAATCACTCACTCAACATGCTCATTTGGATACTTGAGCTAATGATGCAGAGGCCTGGGGTTTAACCCTCTTTCCTTTTCTTGAAAGGGGTCTATGATGAAACTGAGTTTACGTACCATTGAAGCCAAAAAACGAGTACACTATGGACCCAGCCTCCTGCTCAAACTTGAAATGGTAGTCCAGTGACATCTCTTGGAACCTTGTCAACAAACACTTATCCGAATTAACTGCACAACAAATAGTACAAAATAAGCCTTAGATCCAGCTTATAAAGTCATAAACAATAGTATTAGAACATATTACATGAGGGCTGACTGACCGAATTTCCAGCGAGTCTGGACGAGGGCAATGGCAGGATTGTGCACAAGGAAGGGGACGGTCCGCAGGAGGAAGTCGGACTCAGGCTGGAAGTCGGCGTCGAACATGGCGATGAACTCGCACTCCTGCGCATAGTCGCGCATCAGCCCTTGCTTGAGCGCACCGGCCTTGTACCCCTTGCGGTTTCCTCTGACCTCGTACCTGATGTTCACACCTTTGCCCTTCCATCTCTGGCACTCGGTGTTCACTAACTCCTGATAAAAATGAAAAAGAAAGTACGATTGGTTTTTATATGGTATTGTGCTGTTGGGTAATTTATTGTCCAAATCTCTGCAGCAGAAACACCTAGCATGCCTTTCGAAACTGCATCTACCACTGACAATTTGTCTCAAATAATAGCATTTTCTTTGTAAAAAACCCAATGGTATAACTAGCTCTCAGAATTAACCAAGTGTCATTTAACTCCTACACTATTTCTTGATGATGAAACTAACCATGCTAATGCCAGCATCAAGAGTGTAGTGCTCGTGATTGATATGTTCGGCAAAAGAGTCCTCCAACATAGTAGTACCCTCTTTGTTTCAAAATAATTGAAGTTCTAGGTTTGTCCTCAGTCAAGCTTGCTCAACTTTTACCAAATCTATAGAATAGTGTGCTAAGATATAGTACGACAGTAAATGTGCATCGTAGGAAAATAAATTTCATAAAGCATCAGATGAGACTAAAAAAATTGCGAGGAAAAAATTTAGTGTCATCTACTGTTAATTTGATGCTTTAGATGTTAATATTTTTTTTCTATAAACTTACTTAAACAAGTTTGATTTTCAATAAATCCAGAAGTTGAAATTTTAGAACGGAGGTTGTACTGTTCGACAATGTTTGAATCTGGCACCCCGAATGCAACATACAACGTGCTGCTTGTTTGGGTCCAGCACGATTGATGCATGTGTCAGACCATACGTAGTGCGTAAAGTTCTTTTTTTTTCTTTGCTTTCCCGTGAGGCTCGTAAAGACAAGTGAAGCGTTGACTAGGGGGCCGATCAAGGTAGATCCAGCCACCTAACCCACTGCCACGTCTCCTCACGTTCCTTCCTGGTCACATGACCGCCAGGTATTCCGGTTAGTTGTAACATGCCAATGAATTTGGGAACATGCTCTGGCGACGCCATGTATTCTCATCGATCCCAGATGGATTGTGTGCAGTGATTGCACATGCGTGTTGTTGGCCACTGCTTGCCTACGATCGACGTCTATGTCTATGTGCCAGGACTTCATCTCCACTTGGCACGGCCGGCAAGAAGCTACTAGTCCAGTAAAAATTGCAAGCAAAAACCGACCCATGATACAAGAATAACCTGCATTGCGCCTGGTTAATTGATTACCTTTACAACGGGGTCGGTGGAGTCGTCAAGCACCTGGATCACCATGCGGTCCGACGGCCAGTCCAGCGCGCATGCCGCTCCGATTGACACCTTGTACACCTTCATCCATTCCATTCCATCCGTCGATCCAAGACAACAAATTGATCAGCAAACAAAACCACTCGATCAACATTTTCCTAATGAGCAAGCACTAGGATCGGAGGAGCTCACCTCGCGCTCGTTGTACATGGGGATCTGCACCAGTACCACGGGGAACGCCGCGCTGCCACTGCCGCTGCCGACGACGACAATGCCGTCCTCCTCGTCATCGCCGCCAGTTTTGCATGCTGATGCGGTGATCGGCCGCCACCGGTACCGGCTCTCGGGCCTGTGCCCGAAGGCCTTGGCGGCGTAGCACACGGCGGCGACGAAGAGCTTCTCGAGCAGGATCATCACGGTCATGGCCAGCGACAGGAGCACCAGCAGCCGCAGGGCCGGCACCACCAGGAACGCCCGCGCTTGCTCCCCGGCCAATGAACATTGCGCGGCCACGGTCGCCCAGTCCAGCCGCACCGGCACCTCCGCCCACAGCCCCGCTGTCGCCGCCATGGCCATGGCCTCCTCGCCGGCGCCGGATCGTCTAGCTAGGACTAGGAGGTCTGGGTGCAGATGCTAGCACGACTGGCTAGGCTAGGTTGGTAGATGGAATAATGCAGGATTATATAGATAGTGTGGATGGATGGAGGATGCATGCACATGGAATATGTACGTGATAGTTTTTTGGTCATCTGGTGGTTGGCGACATGCATGGGAATGTTGCCACGAGGCCATGTAGTCGGGTGACCTGTCACCTGTGAGTGTGGAAGTAGTAGGAGCACCACTCCCCAATCCGCGTACAGGCCAAGTAGTGGCCATCTATTATTCCTGTAGAACTGTAGATAGATAGACAATGACGGTGCCAGGATCAAAACGCTGTGATGTCAAGCTTTTCTAATGAATTTCTTTACCCCGAATTTTTTGTAGATATGTTTGTATCCCTTTATTTATTCCCTTGATACTACATTATAAGTCAATGAAAACATGATACTTTATTACTACATAAATATTTAATATGGCAGCAATCCTTTGTGATCATGCATATTTTATGCAAAATATATTGGAATCAGTATAAGTAATGAGACAAAAATGAAAAGAGAAAAAATATATAGCAATGCTGAAAGACAGAACTTACAAATAGAAGGGGAAGCCGGAGGTGGTCCTCAAATGGCATCTTTCTGGCGTTGGATTGGATGTCCTGCGTGTGCCGAAAAACACAACAATATTGATCGATTGATGCCGACGGGATGGTCCGTCGCTCGCGGCTCACTGGACTGCCGGTAGGTGGCCATGCCTCATGGCTCACACCTTGATCGAAGATCGCAGGTGGAGGACAGGAGTCGCTCACGGCTCACTGAGTAGCCGAAGGTGGTCCTGCCTCATGGCGCGCCCTGATCAAATATCACAAGCGCACTACAAAAAATATGTCAACTTGTGACCACCATTATTGGTCACTGAATGGTCACTGTTTTTTATTTGTGACCTTTTTGTGACCAAAAACAAAAGGTCAAAAGCTGGCTGTCGTAAACTGACATTTTTGACCTTTCTTCTGGAATGGTCGAAGATCGTAGGTGGAGGACAGGAGTCGCTCGCGGCTCACTGAGTAGCCGGAGGTGGTCCTGCCTCATGGCGCGCCCTGATCAAATATCGCAAGCGGAGGGCAGGATGAGGCTGTGGCGGAGGAAGGTTTTTTAAAAAAATTGACAAGCAAAAAGTTGGGAAGGCAGAGAAGTCGAAGGAGAAAATCAAGGGATTTCTGCGACGCATTACTGTTGAGTAACCTGATTGTATAGGAAAAGTTAGGATAACGTAGGATATTATTCTACCTTGCCTTGTACTTCAAGATGATCATGTACTCCTATATATATATGCCCACGAGGCTCAAGCAATACAACGAACAATTCCACTTAATCTCTCGCTCCCTTCATGGTATCAGTTTCTGGATTCTAAACCCTAGCCGTCGCCGCTTCCGCACCCGCGCGCCGCCCCCGGGACAGTCGGTCTTCATGACCGCTGTTAGGGGCCGCGCCGCCCGTACCTACGGTTCATCCGCCGGTCGTGTTGACCGGCTGCCCTAGAGAGTCTTTTCCTCGAGCCTTGCTCCGGGGTTTTTCTCTCCTGTCGGTCATCTTGATCGGCGATTTCTTTTTGGTTTTCCGATCTAATCTTGATCGGTTTGCGTCACCCATCGCCGTCGTCGAACCCGTGCGTCTCTACTCCAACCCCGGCGCGATCGGCCGGCTTCTTCACTGACCCGGTGGCCTCGCGCGTCGTCCGCGTGTCTGCCCGCCGGTCGCCCCGACCCGGCGGCCTCGCGCGTCTGCCCGCCGGTTGCTCCGACCCGACGGCTTCGCGTCATGCGGCGGCCCTTCGCCGCCGCCGTTCGCGCGCCGACCCGCCCGTCGATCTACGCCGGCCGTCACCGCCCTGCTCTGACCGGGACTCCTGCATCACCCCGACCCAGCGGCCTCGCGCCATGCGGCGGCCAATCTTAGCCGCCCTGCCGCCCGCCGCCGCCGGCTTCATCTCGGACTCCGCCGCCACCACGCCTCCACCGAGCGGCGTCCCCGACCTCGCGCGTGATCGGCTTGATCACCCGCTCGCCGCCACGATCCGCCTCATCTACGCCGCGCGACTGACCTGGCCCGTCAGTTACGCGCGCCTCCGCAGGTCCCGTGAAGATCATCTCCGAGTTCAGCGCGCCCCTCCGCCGATCGAGCAACGGGCTGCCGCTGCGTCGCCCCGTCGGGCCGCAGCGCCGCCGCCCCGTGGTTCTTCTCCCGGCTGCACCGACCCGCGTCACCGCTGCGTCGCCCCTTCGGGCCGTAGTGCCGCGGCCCGCGGTCTACCGCCGCCCCGAGGCCGTCCGCTCCAGGCCGTCCCCGTGGCTGCACCGACCCTCGCGTCGCCGCTGCGTCGCACCGTCGGGCCGTAGCGAGCGTGGCACGCGGTCCATGCCGCCGTCTCGAGGCCGTCCACGCGGTTGCACCACCCTGCGCTCCGCTGCTGCGCCGCTCCTTCGGGCTGTAGCACCACGGCCCGCGGTCCCTGCGACCGTCCCGAGGTCTTCCGTTGTCGCCCCGACCTGCCCGCCGCCGCTGCGTCGCCCCTTCGGGTCGTAGCGCCGCGGCCCGCGGTCCACCGCCGTCCCCGCGCGTCGACTTCCCGTGGCATGCGCCGCACCACCTCCTTTGACGCGGGAACGCCACCGTCCGCGTCGGTCTTCGTCACGCTGTCAGGGTTCTTCGCCTACTTCGAGCATCGCCGCCGCGCTCATAACCTAACCGCCGCCGCTGCCGTCAGGCCGCCGCCGCCGCTCTTCTTCGGCCGCCGCCGCCGCTACCCCCGTAGCCGCCGCCGCCGCCCGTCCACCCCGTTCGTCTTCATCCAGCACCAGCCCATCGCCAGCGTCGCCGTCATCTACCCCGACCGCTTCATCTACTCCGACAACCGCGGGCGACATTGGCCCCGTGCCGATTGGCACTGCAACCGTCGTCGAGTCCTTCTCTGCTGGCCTCTCCGACTTCTTCGACATGGCGTACAGCTTGTGCAGGTCCCAGTCTACGCATGCCCGGTGCTGGCAACACCGCCGCGTGCCTTCGTCCATGACGTGTCCCCGGGCCCGGCAAGCCTGGTGCGGCGCTTCGTCAACTCCGTTTTCGTCCGTCTATGCATGCGCGGTGCTGGCAACACCGACGCGTGCCTTCGTCTACGATGTGTCCCCCGGGTTGGCAACCCCGGCGCGACGCGTCGTCAACATCATCTACTTCCTGGCGCACCACTACTTCGACACCACTACGCCCACGACTAACTCGGCGCCTCCTTGCGCTCGCGGCTCCACGGCCACTTCCTCGACACCGGCTACCCCGACTCGACATCGACCACGACATTCTTCACACGGCTACCTCGACCACGGCTCCACCACCCACGCTCTCGGCTACATCGACAAATGGCACAAAGGGCTACCGCCTGCTTGAGCAACCTCGTCGATTTTCACTCCAGCCACGACTCCGCGATGCATCGACCGTCACGACTGTGGGGGGGTGTCCGTTAGCTTGCCTTCGGATTCTTCTCCAGTCTCACCGTCTGCGTCCCTACCGTTGTGATTGCGGGGGATGTTGAGTAACGTGATTGTATAGGAAAGCTAGATAGCGTAGGATATTATTCTACCTTGCCTTGTACTCCAAGATGATCATGTACTCCTATATACTAGTATATGGCACGTGCCATGCACGTGGATTTATTTAAAGATTATTGGTGGAAACAATGAAAAAACCTGGATCATATTTGTAAAACGAATTTGTAAGAGAAAGTAATAGCTATTTAGTTACAACACATATTAAGCTTTTACTGTCTTTTTTGCGGGAGATATTAAACTTTTACTTTCCTTGTGTTTGTGATCTGATAACCAGGCAGACCTATGAATTGTATGTGTGCACGTGTATGAACTTCGTTAGATGAAAAAAGAAGCTAATGAATAGGTAGTATTAAGCATCTGATTATTTACTAATTTATGCCTTACTGAGGCATGCACCTTTTCCCCCATCTCTCATCACGTGTAGCAGAAGTACTTGCCTGGTCCTGGTGGAATAGCTTGCTAGTAGTAGTACTGTAGCCTGTAGGAGCAGTGCAACACTCTTAGGGGAGCCTACCAGAGATTTCTAGGTGGCAATGGCCACTGGCTAGTGGGAGAATCATGAACTTTCATGTAGTCTCTCTGTCACGGTGGCAGTCTGGCAGCAATGGATGTGCAACACCGTGAATCCATGCACCGTCAGCCGTTAGATTAATCTATCCGACAGTCAATGCATGGCCACGCAGCCCTTTATCTAAATCAATTGAGTGTGAGCCGTCGGATCACAAAGATCCAACGGTCTATATCCCTCCCTATTCGTACACTATATAGGAGTATATATATGTCCACGAGGCTCAAGCAATACAACGAACAATTCCACTAAACATCTCTCTTCCTTCTAACAATTACGACCAGGGAGGCTATTTGGGACTTTCTTTTCCTGTAACGGCCTACCCCATTGTTACCCAAATCAGATGATACATGGGCATGTAGTCAAATTCTAGCAGAGCGGCGTTTTGTACGCAGACGTGGGTCAACTAGTTATGAAATTCCTGTGTAGTCAAACCACTACACAGGCTTAAGGGCCCGTCCGGAACAGAGGAAGAAAAAACTACAGAAATTGTGGAAGGCATAGGATTGCCGTGGCAAAGCTCAGGAATGGAAAACGCAGGACGAAAACGAGAAGACAGTGTTCGGATCAGAGGAGAGAAGACCACTAGAAACTGACACAAAGCTCATTAAAAAATTCGAATAGTACGCTGTGTGACGGGCAGAAACAGGGAGATGATTGCTTATTCAAGTACGCTTCTCTCTTCTTTGCCTCGGGCCTACGGAAAAAAAGAGCTACTTACATGTAGAGTTGAGGGTACGCCTACCTTTCCTCTGGCTTCCTGTTCGCGCTTCCTTTGTTCCAAACGCAGCGAATGTGAAGAAAACTGCAGGAACTTCATTCCTTTGGAATCTGCTGCAAGTTCCAGTTTGTGGCAATTTGCATGCACCGCCACGGACTGATTTGCAACATATTCTGTACAGCCTACTTAGGTATTTATGATGCAAAGTAGATGCTGTCTCATATGGCATAGGTGACGTAAACTGAAGAAACATGACATTTTTCAACCTTTCATCAAACATCCCTATCTTTACTTATGCCAGATGTGCGGATTTTCCAGAGATGATATGATTCTCCATCACTGTGACATACTCCTTCAGTACATCTCCATATAACTGAACCATACCACTAACTTTTCCTGGATGGAATGCCATTTTACAATGGTTGGAACATTCTGTTTATATCCAACAACGTACGTAGTAGAATAAAATGAGTGTTCTTCCTTCTCTTTGTATTGCATTATATAGTTCTTACTTTATTAATGTTTGATTCGATGGCGGCAAATGAAATCAGAAATGCAGTTCAATCTCTCTTAGCAGAAGAGAGAACAGCTACCAGGCATAAACATGTAAAAAAATTGAGCAAAAGAGAGGCCCCCCTCTCCGATTTCATATAATGAAACCCACTGGTCTTAGTTACAAGTAGCATTCTTTTAACTACGACCAGTTACAAGAATAGATAAAATCAAACTTGTAATAAAATAGGACAGATGAAATCAAACTGGGGGAAACTGAGGTCCCTAGGATTGTAGGTATTCAAAAGTTTCTTGCTCTTAGCTAGACCAAGAACACATTATGTGTACAAGATTACGTCAACTTAAAAAGCGAGGCTTAAAAAAGGAACGACCCATAGTCAAGGAACTATTTCACATATTAACGTTCCAAACAGCAGTTACAAACCCAAATACATTCAAAAGTTGAACCGCAAAACCAGATACGATAAGAGTATTCAAGGTGACAGAAGCAATTTTCTGGTTTTCAGATAAAATATAAAGTAGGTCTTCCAACACATCCCACGAATTAAGTAACAATGCTAGACTAGGGCACATACTTAGTAAGTTCATTTTTGCAGATAATATATAAACACCGCCAACCACATTGATGCCACACAACAAAATTGATGGAAATGCAGCAACCATTCCTTCACCTGGACAAAACAAAATGGTCAATCTGTTAGTACCTGGTAATAAAACACAAATTCCAATTGTCGAACCTATGCAGTATACGTGGTTTAACCATAGTGTGTGAACAGTACATATATGCAAACTCATAATGAGCTCAACAACGTAAAGAAGATCTTTAAAAGAAAACCAATATCCATGGCAATATCTCCTAGGTTTACCAACAATAACAAAGAAAATCTTTGAAACGCTTTGACACTGCAGTTTATTGGGTTGGGAGAGTTGAATGCCACATAGTTCACAAAAAGTAGATGAATTCTGTTACTGATGTTTGTAATAACAACGTGCACTACTCTTATACTGCCTTCAGCTTATCTATTCTGGAGCAGCCAAACCAAGGAGAACTCTAGAGATGGCCAGGTAGGCACACACTGTCAATATCAACACCAACACTATATTCAACAGTTGGATATCATTTATAATTAAAAATAGAGACATTTTGCCTCGGCACCGTCATCATTTAAATTGTTGCCAGTGTTGTACACATTTGTGAATTATTATATCTAAATGGAAAGGAATTTGGGGCTGAACGCTACCCACATTGGCAGCTGGAAATTCTTCATTATAAAAAACAAATAATCGAAATCAGAAAAACTATATTCAGACGATATTCTCACCAGCTGGACAAGGACACCCAGTTGAGAGTTGTCCCACTAAAGCTATGCACTTTTAAGGCTAAACTAAAAACAACGATAGCCCGCTATTTCCTGCTATAACGCTAAATTTGGAGTCATTTTGCCCACTAAGCCGCTATACAATACCACACTTCTGTATTATTTTTTATTGTCATTTCTGGTATTTATGATACATTGATGCGATGCATGGTCATTAAACTAGGACACCTGATTGGTGCTTGGACTTTGATGTGCGAACATGTGTATATGTCAAGTATATGCGATATATCATATATAATGCCTTATTGTATACTCCCTCCGTCCCAAAATTCTTGTCTTAGATTCGTCTAGATTTAAGGAAAATGCTAAATGGATCTTAGCTTTGCTATAGCTCCGTTGTAGCTTTTCATAGCTTCTGGCCGAGCCACCGCTAAATGGCATAGCCTGCTATTTAAAACATTGATCGAAGCAACATATGATCAGCTCAGCATCATAATGTTGAGCTATATCATAACTATTTGAAACATTGATCGAAGCACCAGGTAAGAGCAATATAAAATTACTGCCTATGTAGGAAATAACAATAAACCCTTCAGCCTTTTTCACACAAATTTTTTAGGGGATGAAGCTAAAGGAGGTGACTGATTTTTTATAATACCAAAATGGGCCACTAATATATTGCTTTTAGCTTATAGATTGTGAAACAACAAAACGTAGGTAGAACTTTGGGCAGTCAACATGTGGATCATCTGCATATCATTTATGATCCAAGATGAGTTTTTATTACTAAGCATGTCCACCATTTTAATAGCATGTGTGAATCTCTAGAGCCGAATATACAGTAGTTTGAGTGTGCATGCTACCCAAACTATCCACCACGTATCAGGAGAAAATCATCATTATCCAAATCTCAAAAATTATATTCACATGATCTTCTTACCCGTTAGCCTGTTTCAGCACATCAAACTAGACAATCACACTACATATTGTGCAATATTTCTGCTTCATTAGTTCCACCAGAAATAGTTGTGCCTAGAAGCATAAGAACTCCAGCAATTAACAACAGCTCCACATGAAAGAAAAATGGATAAGAGAAGACAATATGATACAATTAGAAAGATGAGCTGACAAATATAACTTGCGCAAAACAATTCACTTATACATCTTATTTCTGCAGATGTGTTATAAGTCACTCTTGATACTAGCAGTAGATAAAATAACACATCTGTTGTAATGCAAGGAATATTCATACATGCAGTATACTTAGCTACCTCTTAGGGGAGAATTTAGCTTGCCAACAAACATGACCAATGATGCCAACAAAGTTTGATATTTGATCTGGTATCTTCAAATAATGAAGACAAACGCATTGAAATATAACATATATCAAAATAGTACAACATTTGTCCATCTAGCAAAGGTGCAATTGCTAACTAAGTTCTATCGCAGGAAATTGCTTACTAAGTTCAAGCTGTATATGTAACATTTAAGAGTCACAATTACCGTATGCGAGCAATCGTGTAGCAAATATGACAAGATATGGTTACTTCCTAAGATATAATGACCAAAGATGAGAAATCACCTGGTGGGTAGAAACTCGTGAATGGATAACAGCGATATAGAGAATGGGTCACATTTAGTTTCCTGGTTTGCATTGAGTTGCGTTGAACCATATAGACACTGTCGTGGGTACCTAAAAAGATTACATCGGTAGCCTCATCATACCCCACCAATCGAAGACATTCCCTCTTTCTCCCAGTTCGAGGAGGGATGTTAATAAGGTTATGCAATGGAACAATCTTGCACGACAACCATATGGCATCACCTCGATTATTGACCATTCGCTGCCATAGTGGAAGGGTATTGTAAGACAACACAGCAATACCAACGGCACCATCTTCTGCCTGGATGATTTGGAAATTGTCGGAATAATTCACACTAGGAGGCCCCTTTATCACGGTAAGGTTCTGCGTGTCCAAATCAAACTCAAGTATCTTGTCGCCCCAATTGTGTGAAGGCCAGTAAAGGACACTACCAACAAGGGTGCTAGGACCAAAATAAACACAGTTATTACGTGAAGCCTCTATAGAGATGAGACCACTCCATGTATTAGTCTCCGAGGAATAAACACGGGCGATGGGCGAGCCATAAATAGATCTGTATTCTCTGTACATGGACACCAAAACCACCTTAAAGGGGCTCGAATGACATGTGCCGTGTACGTGGCCCTGATCGCGGGCAGCGCAGAGCACGGCCCCGTTGAACCACTCCCTCTGTAACTCCAAAGGGACGGCCACAGGGCACTGCTTGCCGGTGATGGGGTCACACACAATGACCTCTCTCCGCAAATGGTCTCCAATGAGAACAAGGCCGTGGCGGCACCCGAGCACATAGTTCTCTATGGGGAAGCGGAGCACGCTGTCATCGTCGTGGTGGCCGCCATATCGTAGAAGGTCGAAGCGCACGAGAGGGATACGGTCGTGAGGGTCCAGGACTGGAGTGAACATGATGCCATCGCGGTACTCAAAGAAGCCAAGGAGGGGCGGCTTCCGATGATGCTGATAGAACTGGCGGAGGAACTTGGGATAAGCGGCGAGGCGCCGCCACCGCTTACAAACGATGGAGGCACGCAGGAGGGAGGACGGCTGCGACGGGAGGCGGAGGAGTATCTCCCAGAGGAGATCGTCGTTTTCCAGTATGGCCAGCACGGAGCGGCTGCGGCGGTGGCGGGTCATGCCGGCGCCCTCGCTCTTGGCCGATCGAAGATGCTTGGGACAAACGTAAGGGTGGGTTTCTTTTGGGGCCCGATCCTTGGTGTCTTTTCTTTTCTTTGTGTACTGGATTTGATCTCTTCTTGCAGTCTGGTTTAAAAAATATATCTCTTGTTGCTTTCGAAAACTAACTTGAACGTGGTGGGTAGAGTCCTACTCGTAGCTTCTTTACATCGCGAGCTATCTCTACCTAATAATAAAGCGCGGTGGGTTTCCGTCATCCGTCACCCCTATTTGCAAAAAAGTCCCTACAGTTTGTTGAAATCAACCCGCAATCCATCTATAAGTCATGACGAACCGTTTTTTTAACTTTTTTAGAAAACCCCCTGAGATTTCAGGTAATCTACCCGCTGTCCATATTTAAGTCATACGAATCGCTTTTTTTATTTTAACAGAAAACCCCTTAGCCTTTCAGTTAATCAATCCATAGTTTATCTAAAACAAAATTATCCATATCTTTTAAACCGTAACTCCGATTTTAACATATTATATACGAAATTTGATTAGAAAAATGTGTACAATCTAAATATGCTATTAATTTTAGCTGTTAAATATTTCTAAACTATTAATTTGGGTGCAAACTTAATCTATAGTGCACGGTCCGTTTTTCTTTCGCACCGGCGACGATCCAAATTGCAAATAAACACACATTAAAACCAGATTGAGTGGGAAAAAACATTGATAACCACGCATACACAACTCTAAAAAACCTCGCGGGAGAAAACAACACTTTTCTCATCTTATTCTGAGCAATTGTGTGCGTGTGAGCGCGTGTGTGTGAGAGAGAGAGACGCCTTAGGACTGACCACATTCAAATGCATTTTCATTGTGTGAGCAGTGAGACCATCGTCGGAAACACAAATGTGATGCCATTTTAAATAAAGAACGTCTACCTATCAGGGTCTCGAGTCGTGGTCATTGAGTTAAGAGCGTATATTTTTTCTGTCCCGTTGCAACGCACGGACTTTTTTGCTAGTATATAGTAATTCCTCGTCCCGAAAAAATCACTTCGTCCAGGAGCAGCCATGCATCGAGGAACAAGCATTAGATGGATGATGAAAAATGACAGTTCAATTCAGTGGTAACTCTGCATCTCAAGCAAAGACGGTTAGGAAATTCAGAACCACTGTGTTGGGACCCGCGCAATCGGAGCCCAACCGCAGCTCACCAGAGAATCATGCTCGGTCATACACTCGAAAATTGCCGCCTTTCAGCTGACAACAACAATTTGTGGAATTGTCGCCTCTTGGCAAGAACTCGACAACAGTCCAGTGGCTACGGATCTGAATGTAATTTTTATTATTTCTAGTGTTCGTTGCATCGCCATGATTGAACAAAGTTTTCTCACAAAAAAAGAGTTGGGATTTCAGTCAGAGTCATGGTCTACTGATAAGCTATGTACTGTCCCGTATCTCTGGAAATTCAGTCAGTTTTCATGTGTTGTAGACCGGCACAGTCCAGTGCCGCATATATATATGGACCAAACTAGTGGACAGTATATGTTCTTGCGGTTTTGAGTACGATTGTGGACTCGCTGCCGTCCAATCCCATATGTATCATCAGCAGGAAATATCTTAGTTTCCGTGAGAACGACAAGTACTCTGGCTCATATGAACCACTACAAATAACAGGACAGCAGCAACAATCTCACTCCGTCATGTTGCTGGCGACCAGATTTTTGCAGCATCATTGTTTCAGTCGAGTAAAGACCAAAAGAAAAACTACACAAGGAAAAAATTATGCAGGCCACAGTTCTCTTTCTCTGCAACAATAAACATGTGGAATTTTTCCGATCCAGCATTTGTTGCTTTTTAGAAAATGCAGAACAACTTCCTGGAATACAGTTAGTTCAGACCAAATAACATTTTTTTCTCTCCCTCGTCTGGTATTGTGCAGCAGTTATCCCGTTAATCTCCTCCTATTCATCTCAGGGCAAATGAAAAAACAAAACAGAGCACGGGTGGAAGATGACCACATTACATCTGACAGAGATGGCATGCATGCTTCTTAAACGAAAGCTAAGAAGCACACTCAGAACAGACACACCTTTTGGCGATACTTGGGGCTGAAATTGTCATGGCCGGAGATATATGAGCTCCCAAGCGGAAGCGCGTACATAAGCAACAGATAACAAAAACCAACTTGCATTAATACTAGGGTATTCGAAAGCATCTTGCTACATTAGAAACATAACTAGACCAAGGCATATATGCATTCACTAAGTTTCTTCAGATAACATCTTTTTAACGCCGCCAACCACACTGATGCGCACAAACTCAATGACAACAAGAAACTGCACCATCCCTTTCTTCCTCTTGAGAACACAAAAGTATTAACTTGCAAGTAACCCAATACAGATAAAGATAACACTTCTTCTTCGGTACAACCCCCTAATTACACCAACGGCTAAGATCGTCCCGTACCCCTTCATTAAAAAGGGTAGGATCGTCCTTTCACTGAAAAGCCGCCGTCCGCGCGCGACAAGGCCATCCACACGCCCGGGACTGTACGTACGACGCGGGCGTATACGGCAGACGGGGCAAAGCGGTGGTAAAAAAAAAGCGACGTGGCGACTGGCGTGGTGGAGACACGTCGTCCGTGGCGTCGGTCAAGGCGAAAAGACCGCGACGTGGCCCGCATGGCATGGTGGAGAAGTGTCGTCCGCCCGTGTCGCGTCGGTCAATGCGGCGGTTCCCGAGACGCCATTACGACCGGCGTTAGTCCGGCGCGTCGGTGCCCACCTACCCACCCACTAGTAGAAAAGGGGGCATTTGTCCCGGTTCGTAAGGGCCTTTAGTCCCGGTTCTTGAACCAGGACTAAAGGGTCGTGACTAATGCCTCCCCCCTTTAGTCCCGGTTCTAACACGAACCGGGACAGATGTGCCTCCACGTGGCCGGTGCGCCGAGCCCAGGCAGGAGGGCCTTTGGTCCTGGTTGGTGGC